GTAGTCAGTAAGTAATCTAAGTACTACCTATAGTAAGTCAGTACCGTAAGTCCGTACAGTCCGTCCGTCGTCCGTCCGTCCGTGTCCGTCGTCGTCCTCCGTCGTCGTCCGTCCGTCCGTCCGTCCGTCCGTCGTCCGTCCGTCTCCGTCCGTCGTCCGTCCGTCCGTCCGTGTCCGTGTCCGTCCGTCCGTCCGTCCGTCCGTCCTCGTCCGTGTGTCCGTCCGTCCGTCGTCCGTCCGTCCGTCCGTCCGTCGTCCGTCCCGTCCGTCCGTCCGTCCGTCCGTCCGTCCGTCCGTCCGTCCGTCTCCGTCCGTCCGTCCGTCCGTCCGTCCTCCGTCCGTCGTCCGTCCGTCGTCCGTCCGTCCGTCCGTCCGTCCGTCCGTCCGTCCGTCCGTCCCGTCCGTCCGTCCGTCCGTCCGTCCGTCCGTCCGTCGTCCGTCCGTCGTCGTCCGTCCGTCCGTCCGTCCGTCGTCCGTCCGTCCGTCTCCGTCCGTCCGTCCGTCCGTCCGTCCGTCCGTCCGTCCGTCCGTCCGTCCGTCCGTCCGTCCGTCCGTCGTCTCCGTCCGTCCGTCCTCCGTCCGTCCGTCCGTCCGTCCGTCCGTCCGTCCGTCCGTCCGTCCGTCCGTCCGTCCGTCCGTCCGTCCGTCCGTCCGTCCGTCCGTCCGTCCGTCCGTCCGTCCGTCGTCCGTCCGTCCGTCCGTCCGTCCGTCCGTCCGTCCGTCCGTCCGTCCGTCCGTCCGTCCGTCCGTCCGTCCGTCCGTCCGTCCGTCCGTCCGTCCGTCCGTCCGTCCGTCCGTCCGTCCGTCCGTCCGTCCGTCCGTCCGTCGTCGTCCGTCCGTCGTCGTAGTTCCTTTCCTCGTTCGGCTTTCTTTTAGTAGCTGCCCTTTTTCGCTCCGTTCTTTCTAGCTGACACTTTTCCCTCAGATTTATCAAAAGATTCCATAACATTTTCTATTTAATCGTTCATCAATATGGCGACTCTAGTAACTCTCTATTTCAATAGCCGTTATTTTAAACATACCCTTAAAAGTAATGTAAAAGATATATTTCGTAAATAAAATCTAATCTTGCCCCTCAACTTTTGGAGGAATTTCTAACCTCACCTCTCAAGAATTGATAATTTTTTAAAAATTAATTCAATAACCAGGCCTAACCACTTCAATTTTTTAAAAAAATAAGCGTACAATTGAGGAAACAATAAAGCGACTATATTCAAAAGTCGCTATATCTCATTTTCATGATATTGAGATTTTCATGGCAAAATATTCAGCAAACAATTCCACATCCCTGATATGAATTTCAAAAGAAAAATATAATTTTTTCGATTTTCTAACATTTTTGAAATTTCGCTATCTTAAAAATAGAAAATTTTCTCAATGTAAAACTTGATATATTTTAAAAAAATTGATTTTAACTCGATTATTTTCGATAATTTTCTGTTGCAAAATAAGTAGTAATTTGGACAGGCTGAACACAAAAAACTTATAATAGTCTTGCAGTTTTTAACAGTGTGACTCTGATTATTTTTAAACTGTACTCATTAAAATTTAATAAGAAATTTTTAAATTTCTTGTATGCACCCTGTTTTACACAAGATGATCATGAATTTTTCTCGATGCGAGAATTACAGAAACGGGGCACAGAAAGCAAAATGCCATATATTTTTAAACACAAAAACTAATTAAAAATAACACAAATTAAAAAAATATTTTTTTTTAAATTATAGATATTTTATAAAAAAAATTATGTGTATTTTAAATGCATTATTAATTTCAGTGCCGTTGATTAAAAGTTTTGAAAACAATTCTATAAAAATTGTAAAAGAAATTGAACAAAATCTGAATTAATTTCCTTAACATTAGCCTGTGAAATAATAGCTGAAAATAATCGAATATGGCAACCAGGGTGAACTGAATACCCGTGATGGCAACCTTGCAATAATTATTATTATTAATCAGGGTGCACTTATAAGGTGAAGTCAATTCAACAGCTGATCACTAATTTTTTTTATTTAAGGTAGATACAACTGTCAAAGTACACCATTTAGAGTTGCCACAATCCGAAAAAATATGTACATCTATCTAGGGATTCATTATATTTTTAGGACAAAAAATTAATAAATAAATTTTATATTCATTTTAAACCATAGTAAATTTGTGCGAAATACTAAAAAATTGCACAAACTATTTGTCTTAAATATGCATCTATTTTATCAATTATAGGGAACTTTTTACTAATCAATTGAGAGTACAAACATCCCACAATTGTAAAAAAAAAATTATTAAAACTCTATTTTATCATAGATATCTTAATTTTTGACAACTTTCCATGGTAGTGGTTTGGTCACATTTCTACAAAGATCATTATATATTTCTTATACGATAATAGTAGAGGCCTACACGGTATTATAAGTTCCCAATATTGACTGTTAAAAAATAATATGTATATAATTTGTATTTTTGCTACTTCTTACAATTTTGTAATCTAATACTAATTTTTTGTTATTTTAATTGATAATTTATTTACTTTTTTAATAAGTAAATAATAAATAATATTCTAACCCCCTAATTCACAAACAATATTTTTATTTTATAAAAGGTTTATAAAACAAAATTTCCATACAAAATACCGTTTATAAAATAAAAATTTTGTTTGTGAATAATTTTTCAATTCATGTATAATTTTTAATAAATTTTATCTTATAATACATATTTACTTTACGTGAAGAGAATTTTGGGCATGTGGGATTGTCTTTTTGTAATATAAATAAAAAAAACACGGTGGCAACATGTAAACTTTTTGACAGAAGTATCTACTTTTGTTGTTTTTGTAGAATTGACTTCACCTTATAAGTGCACCCTGATTATTAATGCTAGATAATTTTGTGATTGCGGGTGAGTTGGACGTGGATTTGGTAAAACTCGGAAGAAAAACATAAAACTGAAAAAAAATTAACAAAGAAAAAAATATTTATGTAAAACAAAAGAAAAATAGAACTGTTGTAAAGTAATAGAGAAAAAAATATAAAATTTTTACTTTAACTGCAAGTCTTTTATTATTAGTTTATAAGAGATTTTGCAAGCACAGAGCACTTGAACAAAGAAAAAGTAATTAAAAATGATTCATAGGTTTTAGTAATTAGCTGCGTTTAAACAAATTAACAAAACAATCTGTGAAATCATTAAAAGGTCTTGGTAAAAGTGACCACAACAAGTCCCAATTGTTGGTGAAAATTTCGTTGGCAGGTTATGAGATTCTGGATATTTCCTAATATGGTAAAGTTGTGAAATTACGTACGTATATATTTTTCTTTTCGTGAAAACAAAATGGCGTCTTAGGGCGTCATCAATTTCGTCATTTTGTTTTAAAATTGTAATAGATTTTTTCTGCTAGGCAGAGATTTCTTTCGTTAAGCAAAGTCACAAACCATTTGAGAGGTATGTTCAGTTTGTTATGGTGCAGAGTTGCGTTTTACTTATGCATTAATTAATGCGTTGCCAGATGTTATTAATTTGGCAGGGAGAATATTTACCGCTTGTTTAAAATTAATGTACAATGTTATTTCAATTCAAATAATTAGTAGACAAGAGATTCGTAATTCAAATTTGCTTTAAAAATATGTATACTTTCATTCATACAAATTTAGATTTATAAATAGTTTATAAAATAAAAATTTGTTTATAAATAAGGCTTTAATTAATTATCATAAAAACCAATATATTTTCCAAACAACAGTTTTGGCGCATGTATAAGACAAATTCAACAAATTATTTAAAATCGGCGTAATGGTTTTCGAGATATCGCTCATAATTTAATTTTATTTTAGTTAACTATATAATGATAGTTATGAACCAAAACACATTCTGGTGTTTTTTACAATTTGTTTCTTTTTACTCCATTAAATTGCTTTAAAGATAACATTTATTGATATTCGAAATAAAATGTTTTTATTTCAATTAATTTGTATTGAAAAATTTTAAATTCTAATTAAGAATACAAGATTATTTTACAACCATATCTTGTAAAATAATCTTGTAGTTAAAGTTAAATTCAGAGTAATGATGGGGTTAAGCTATTTCCTATTCGCATTTCACTGGTTGCTGAAGCCATCTGGAAAGTTTTCCCAATATTTTAGAAAAACTGAAAATGTTTATAGTATATTCTTTTTATAAACTTAATACAGTCCCTCAATATTGAAGATAATTACAAAATTTGTGCCAGTTTTCTAATTTTTCGTCAATAAATTGACATTTTTGTTCCCCTTTAATATCCTTAGAGGGAAAATAGGTTTTTTAACTTGACGACTTAAGTTGATTGTTCCTAACAGATTATTATTCAGAAAATTTCACAACAGGAGAAATGTATTCACATCAATGAAGTTAGCGAACAATAAGTGAAAAGGAATCATATTTCACCAAAAAATTTGATAGGCAATATGGCTGAATATCGTCGGTGTGGGTTTTTAAAATAGAGTTCCAAATGAAAAATCAACAAAAAGTTGTGTTCACTTTAAGTTTCTATCAGAAATAATTTTTATATTACAAAAAAAAAAATAGCTCAAGTTAAATTAGCTGTAAACACTTTGTAATAAAATTTCCTGCAATAACAAAACTGGTATTTTTATCATTAAAATATCGTTAAATTTCAAGTGACCTTCAAAAATTTCAAAACTCAAAAACGTGTTTTGAATGTGGTGTTAATGGGAAAATTCCAGTTTAGAAAACAAAGTGCCAGATGTTTTTAAAAACAAAAACTATAAAAATAATACAAATTAAAAAATCCAAGTTATAGATATTTTATAGAAAATTATGTGTATTCTTTAATTACATTGTTAATTTCAGTGTCGCTGTTTAAGATTTTTGAAAACAATTATATACAAATTGGAAAATAAATTGTAATCTAAATATTTCTTTTAGCCTGAAAAATAATAGCTGAAAATAAAATATGGCAGCTTTGCAAAAATAAACATTTGTTAGATTTATAAACACCCTGTGGCTCTAATCTACTACAAATATGTAAGTAACATTGACATTTTTTGTGTTCAACTGTTGACAGTTCAGCGAGTAGATTTCAGCAGAGCACATACACGGAAAAATTAAAGTGGAACTCGTGTTAAATTAAAAATAAAATAACACCAATTTTCTATTAATACTAATTATACACATACATACAATTTGCAATAAAAATAATTATATTTTTAGGTAATTTTTATTAGTAAATAATAAAATAAAGTCATTTTGACAAATAAAGTACGTGGGAGGGGGTTTGGATTTTTATTTTCAAGTGCTCTGGAGGTCGTCGTTTTTGTTTAAACAACAAATAATTGATGTAGTGAAAGTTATTTTCAATGCTAAATAATTTATATTGCTTATTATTTTATTTTGCAGATTATTGTAATAAAACAAAAAATATTTTTTTCAATATAAGAAGAAAAAACTTACATAACCTCAAAAACAATTACTATTGTGGAAAGAAAATTACGCAGCAGTTTAATAATAAAGTAAAATAGAGAAAAGAACATGTTTAAAAAGAGACAGCAACTGTTATTGATTTCAAGGGAGTATTAAAACACAAGGAAAACATCTCTATTACAAATTTAAAGAAGCAGTTTTAAACAGAAGACGCAAAAAAATTAATACAAAATGGTAAGTTGATAACTAGTTTTAACTATAAGTAATAAAAAAAAACAATAAATAAACGCAATTAAGAACAAATTTGAGTTTTATTTGTAATTTAATTCTGTCCATAACTAATGATTTTCTTTTTTGTTTGTTTTTCTCTATTAAAACATTTTAGCCACGCATAGTGCCCATACAATTATTGAAATGCCTTAAAGTCCTGTTGGACGATAATGGTGGTATCTTAAGTGCTGGAGAAGTTAAAAGATTGGCCAGGTGAGTTATGACGAAAAAAAATCCATACTTTTATTTGCAATCTATGTGATTAAAGCTTCTAATCTATTACATTTTCTTTGATACAGAGTTGCATTTTTTAGTATTTTTTTTTTTTTTTTTTTCACAATGAACTTTATTTGTAATTATTTATTTTTGTTTATTTTCTTTACAGTTTAATGACCAAATATTCCAAAAAATTAGTTTCCAAATGCATTTATGTACAAATTTTAAAATGTACTAAAACCGAACTACTGGGCGAATTTATGGGTGCTGGGGGTTGGTCTTTAGTTTATACTTGGTTAAATGATGCCATACGTGCCATGAATTGGCCTTTAGTGCAGGAAATTTTAGAATTATTGCTATTGTGTCCGGTCGATGTTCATCGTTTGAAAATCAATTCAGCACCCAAACTTGTTAAGGGTCTTTGCAAAGATGGTGGTAATGAAGGTAAGTTTGGAAAAATGTTTAATAAATTAGAAATTCTTTTACAGGATATCAAGGAGGGTTATTTGATAAATTACTTTGATAATTATTATTAGCGGTCCTAATTAAGGACATGCTAATATCTCAGTTCCCCTAAAATTTTAAAGATTTCGGTTCTGCGGGTTTTGTACCTATAAAGGACAGAGAAATAGGAAGGACTGAAACTAGAGCCTTATTCAACTTTGTTCCCAAAATTAATTGGAATTTTATCCCGATAGCAGTGATTATATGATAAGTAAACAGCATCATAACTATAGCCTCCATTTGAAAAAAGTTCAAATAGTGATGAACCGAATTCGAGTGTTTCCTATTTGTTAGAAAAAGACTTGCAGAACCATTCTATTCTATTCTATACCAGATCCCAATTATTTTCTAATTTTAGAAAATTTTAGATAAGACTTATAGAGTTTTAAGTAGAGATTTCATAAAACTTTAAGAGTAATCCAACAAGTTTCCATTTCCAAGTGATTTAACTTTAAAATAAATTTACTTTTTCTAAAGAATCTTAATACGAAAATAATTCCAGTTTTAATTAGGATGAAATTCACTTTAAAGACGCGCATTTAGAAAAATCCTGATTTCATTTTCTAAATTTCCTAAATTTTAGGGAATTTTGAAAAATTTTCATACTTAAACTGTATAAAATATGAAGCAGGCAAATTTAGAAACAAATACATACAAAGAAAGTTGTAAGCGAAAAAAATCAATATTCGTCCCATACGGGTATTACAATAACAAAAAATACAAGACAAATACTTTGTATCAGACTTAAGTCATGCGTTCTTAGTTACCTATTACTCTAAAAATGTGTATGGGTAGATAAAATGATAAATATTTGAAATCAGTATTCGTTTCGGTATAGATATTTACTTCTTTCTACCTACTTTTTGTATTTAATGATTTCTTAATCTTAAAAATATGTTTAAAGATTTTTTTTGCAGCTGAAAGTACAAACAGATTTTTAGGGTTAAATTTCTTTTGTGTTTTCCATTTGAAAAGAGAAACAATAATATCTTAAAGACCTTGTAGAATTTAACATTTCTATAAAGAAAACGAAATACAAACAAACATGAAATTGTAAATATTTTTAAATTTATTCGGACATGGTTCCATTTTTACGTAGTTATGTTGTAACGTAACTACTCTACAATTTTCTAATCCCCAGGGGGTTTCAATTTCTATAAAATTAATTCGTACATCCATTGATCAGAGTGAAGTAAGGGTGACAGCTGTTTAGGTGATAGATATCATGATGACCCTTATCGCAAGCTGGACATTCATTTGGTACGCCATGGTCTATGCGGACTAGTTTCTGCTATTAAATCAACTTTATTTAAAGAAGCTTCCTTAAGAATCACTTCTATTTTATTTTTCAATTTTAATCGAAATTTTCCCGGTTTGGCATTTTTTCGATTCGATGATCCTTCACTAAAATATCAACTTATAAAAACATAGATACGATCCTAATTCAGACAGAATACATACAATCGTAAAGAATTGGGACGAAATGAAATTGATTCTACTTTTTCTTACGAATTACGTTTTTTTTATTGTAATTAAGGTAGAATTACCCAACCGTAACGTATCGTACCCGTAAGATCGTTGTAGCTGAACGAGGAAAAGCAATTAAAATGGTAGCCGTGACGTTTTAACTCGTATAAAATATAACAAAAATGGAAAATTAAAGTTTTTGACAGCAATCATATGTTATTCATTATTATCCCTCTCGTTTCTTTATTTCCGACATGATGAAAATAAATTTAAAATAATTAGAAATTTTCCCATTTTGAATATTTTTAATTAACTATATTCTACTATATTTATGTTAAAAATTTTGAAATTTTTTCGAACTTCAAGCAACTTTTGGAACTTTTTTAAAATACTTCATGGGATCTAAAGTTTACTTTTTAGAACATTATGAATTTTTTGAACATAACTTCAAATTGTTATCAGATGTTATTCATGAATGTAAAAATTTCAAATTTCAAAATAATAACTTTTCTGTTTTTTTTTTTTATCATATTTTATTATAAAGATTTGAGACTTTTTTTAATTATTAATTGAATATTATTTAGGCCCGAGTCCGATTTCCACTTGGTGATTAGTTTTTTTATGAATGGATCCCAATTATATTCTAAGGTCGAACTGAGAGACGTATATAACTAAATCGACTTCGCTATGCATAAATATTCAGATTAATAGCACTTTATGGAGACGGAAATTAAAAATTATAAAATTTGAATTTTTAGATTTTATACTTTAAGAATTGCGTTTGTAATTCCCATAATCAATTTCTCAATAATTATGAGTTAAATAGATGATATTTATATATGACACTCATCATCGCAAAAAGATTATGACGCTTTGTAGCAGAGGCAGAAAATCCATTATAATTTGCTAAGTGTTGAAATGTGATTATAAAGAGAATTTCTATTAATTTAAACAGGAAATTGTGGTGATTTTTCGAAATATTTCTTAATATATTTCAGCCAATGATATTTTATCAACTGTTTCTTAAAATTGGTTCCAAACTTAACTGTTTCAAACAAATATGGCAGAAAAAAGATGATGTTGCAAAATGGTTCTGTCGAAAAAGTAAGTTTTACTAGAACTAATTTTTAGAATGACAACTATGAATAAATAGAATCAATTAAAGAACAGATAGCTGACCGTTCCATAGAACGATTGCAACGGAATCAGTTCTGGAGCTCACAAAGTCGAACAAAAATTATTGGTTTCAATAACAAACACAGTATTATGTCTTCTAAAACTGTGGCACTTTAACAGTTTTTACTAAATTAAACTACAAACTAATATCAGTTCATCTTAGTTTTACTGAAATAATTCTTCCTTCTTTGGCTTTAGAAAAAACACCCATTTTTCTGATAACAAAACCAGCTTGTAGTAAACTCACAGCTGCTCTCATTTAATCCATTCCATATATACTGTAGATTATGGAATATATAGATTTGCTAATGGTTAGATAAATAATCTATTGTTTAAATTATACCTACTCAGAGTACACTTACAAATCACGTGTTCTAAACAACACAAAAATAACAAGATCTCCGTAAAACTCTCCAATGATCTTATCAGTTAGTACCTAAGAAAAAGAATGTTGTAACCCATATTAGTATATTGAATAGAAATTTGTCTATGACTCTCTCTCTCTCTAAGTAGTATGTATCTATAGATCTTTTTACGATTTACCTAAGCAATAAGTGAACGTTGTTTTTCAATTCAATTGGCATTCAAGAATGTGTGCTTGAAATGATTACACACCTTCAGGTGGTTTTGTGTATACGTTTTTTTTTTACAAAGTGCTAAAAAATATTGTGAAAATTTGTTTTAACTCAGCAAGTGTTTGAATATTTTTTTTCCTAAACTTTACTCTTTAACACAGTGTTAAAAAATCTCCTAAAATTTTTATATTTTTCAATCGAATTCTTAATTAAATAATTAATATTTTATATGAATATTACTTTGTGTATGGTAAGCTTTATGAAAATGTTCTCTTGACCTTGAGAAAGATTTTTGAAATTATTAATTTTAAACAATTATAAAGATCTTGATATTTTTTTAATATATTCAATGGGGTTTTACTTTCTATATTAGACTTATATAATTTTAGTCTAATAAAATATGGAAAATAGGAAAATTTTAGGATATGTGATAATAAATCGTCTTTTTATGAGAAACTTTGATGAAAAAGTTATCACGTGATTAGGTTAGTGATAACTAATCAAGAATTAATAAAAATTTTCTTTGGTTAGTATAAGGATTTGAGCAAAATTTATTATAAACAACCCTATTGTGCACTTAAATACGTATAGAAAATTTTTCCATTTGGCATTTAGATTTGACGATCCTCAATGACAACGACACGATCGTAATGCCCTTTTTTTTTACAATTCCATTTCGATCCTTATCTGAAAGCGAAAACATGAACGATATGCAGAATACTTAGGAACAATGTTTCGATTTGTTTCGACTTTGACTTGAAGCGTTTCGGTCCCGATAAATATTTTCAAATGGATTTGATTTCTTAGACTTAAAATGTTTAATCACACCTACCTAATCTGCATTTAAACTTTGGTATTCTATATTAATCTGTATTAGAATAATACAGAATACACGATCGCAATGCTGAGAGACTACATGCGAAAACGTAAACGAAATGCAGAAATTCCTTCTTTTAACTTTTATGATCAGATTTTGTAAGCGATTCACACTAATAACGATGAATTGTTCTCTGAATATTCGCGATAGAATGTTTTTCGGGTTAAAAGAGAAAGCGGAAGAAAATACTGGGGCTTACATCGTATTACAAAGATAACACGTTCCATATAAATTGTAAAATTTGCTTTTTAAATCGAGTTAAAAAGTAAACTCCAGTATTCACCATTTATTTGTACGCGGAAAATGTGAAAAAGTTAAAAAAAAACTTTATTTAAAGACTTGAAAACTTCTATAAAACTTTTTATATTCAGAGTAGCAAAGATTCGCTGACCAGTTCCGTTACTAAAGGAAAAAAATACTCATATTTTAAAGCAATATTAATGTCTTCATAAAACACACCCTTTTTCAAACATTTACCAATGAAATTTCTACAGGTTCATGGAAAAATATATGAAAATCCATTTCGGAATTATAAAAACTTCCAGAAATTCGTTTTGGATTTCTAATAATGAAACTAATAAATAATTTCAATAAGTTGTTTAAAATCAGAGCTAAAAAATGTTAATACTTATTTAATATATATTTATTAAATTACACAATAAATACCCTCTCTTTTAGTTTTAATTTTATTATAATTTAATTAAAACAATCCAATTCTCCTTACTTCTAATTTTAGGTGTACGCATTTTAGCTAAACGTCTCGTCGAACAGTGGCTTAAGGTGGTTACAGAAAATCCTGAAGCAACATTACCCACAACAAATATGACACAACAAGCAACACAGGCTATTAAGACACCAACTGTAGCAGTTGTTGCACCAGAGGCAATTTCTGTCAACGTACAGCAGCAACAGCAAACAGCCATGGTTAATACAGCAAATCAAAATTCAACTAATACACAACAACAACAACAACAAAAACAGGAGGAGCAAAAAGTTGCAACTAAACAGCAGAAAACAAAAGCAAATAGAAAAGCAAAAAAAGTACAAGATTTTGAAGAAGAAGAGGAGGAAGAGGAAGAAATAGAAGATGAAGAAGAGGATGAGGAGGAAGAAGAAAAGGATACTGAGCAAAATGATAAAGATCCTTTGGGTGGAGTTGATACAGAAGCTACCGTAACAAATTATACTTTAACACCAGCCCAAAAGAAAGCCAGTGAATCTGGTCTAGTCTATAAGTTTATCATTAAAGATGGTCAATCTATTTTAGCTAAAGTTCCTCCCAAAACAGCACAAACAACAGCCGCTCCCACGACCACAGCTCAATCCAGTGTAGAAGAAGAGGAGGAGGAAGAAACAGAAACAAATGAAGCGGCTGATGATGATAACGATGAATCGCTAGCTACTCGGGATAATGCGAACGCTGTAGCTGAGGCCGATGATAATAGTTCTTCTTTGGACAAAACTGAAAAAGACAATGACAGTGGATCAGAAGACAAAACAAAAGTGGAAGATAACAACAAGAAAACCGAAGAGAAAAAATCTTCAGAAGACAAAGACAAATCCAGTAAAGATCGCAGAAGTTCTAAAGACAAAGAGAGACGAGGCAGCACTAGCAGCATTGACAAGGACAAGGATAAAGACAGAGATAGCAAATCATCAAAGTCTTCATCATCCTCTTCCAGTCATAGATCTTCTAGTCACAAGTCCTCATCATCATCGTCGAAGAGTTCGTCATCATCGTCTAGTAAATCAAAATCTTCATCATCTCATCGTAGTTCTAGTGATAAACACCGCAGTGATAAGGAGCGTTCTAGTTCCAGTAAAGATAAGGATCGTAGTAGCAGTTCTAGTTCTAGCAGCAAACATCGTTCATCTTCTTCGAAATCAAGTTCATCTTCATCTAGTTCTAAGGATAAATATCGTGATAAAGAAAAGTCTTCATCGTCTTCGTCCTCATCATCTTCATCCAAAAGTAAAGATAAACAGGAGCAATCGGATAAGGATAAAAACACCTTAGAGAAGATTAGTTCATCATCCTCCTTGGATAAACTTGGTAAAATACCTAAAAAATCAAGAGATGAGTCTGAGGAAAATTCCCCCAAACACACTTCTATAACAATACCCTCCAAAAAAGCCTCCATGTCTATAGAAATTAGAAAAGACACAGAGAAAGCGAAAACTGTGAAAACCTATAAATCACAATTTCGTTCGCATGGTCTCACTGAAGAAGCACCACCACCACCTTCACGCAAAGGCCTAAAGAAACCCTCCTCCGCAACACCACCTGGTACAGTATTGCCATCTTCCCTGCCCTCTTCGCTGAAAAGAACCTCACCACCGCCTAGGGATTTGCCTTCGGAAAAGAAAGCCAAAATTGACATCAACAATGTAACGGTGGCCAATGAGAAACCGGGCGCTATTAAATTAATACCACCCAAGAAGAGTAAGTATTTTACCTTGGAAACAGTTACTAATTTCCGTTTTCCTTTTCTTTGTCTATTTACAGAGAAAACAATTATGTTGTTGTTGGGCTTTTGCTTTTTTATGCATTTATAAGTATCGCATTTCTTACATTTACAAATTTTAATACTTTTTTTTTTACAAATCTCTAAACAAATACCAAGAGTTTATAGAAAGAAAAAAACCAGAAACAAGTGGTAAACTGTGCCTCCTACTCCTGCTAAGGCTAGTAAACGTGTTGTTAACACTCTTCCCTCTGTCTCTTTAAAACTCAAAATGTATGTAAACAAATTGAAAGAGAATAGAAGAAGAAAAAACAAAACATGCTGTAGTGATGACTCATCAATGGTGATTGGACAATGGACAAAGAAATATACTACACAAATGCGTCATCATTTGCCTCCAAACACACATACACTATGTTGTTGTTATTATGTGATAATTTAAATAATGGCTTATGAGAGACATTGTGGTGGATTTTGTTTGTTGCTTTCTCTCGCTCAGTCATCGCAAAATTGTTTTTGTTTGATCTCTTCGTTGGTGCTTTTATTATTTTTTTTATAAAAATGTACAGTGTGGTGGTGTTAAAAAAAAAGAAACAACAATAACTAAAAAGACAAAAACATGAACAAAAACAAAAACCTAATGAAAACAAAAGTCATCCATCATTAGCGTAGACACTTTATAAATGTGTCTGTGCTAAGTAGTAGTATATATAATGTAGTGTTGCAAAACGTTTAAATTATTAATGTGCTAAATGGTGTATATTTGTATGAAAAAAGTTCTTTATTTAAAACTGGCGTTTTATATATAAGGTTTTTCTCAGGGAATACATTTTTAAGAATAGATAGGAACAGAACAGGGAAAATATAAATGAGCATTCAAATATATAAAAAGTTTTTTTTAATAAGGCAATACATGAAGTTTTAATAAGTCTTCATATTTTTCCCTAATCAGACTGATTGAACATTAGTTCCACTATGTATTATTCAAGATTTGATGGATTTTTTCTATTGAAATTATATAAATGAGTTCGAACTTATTGCGAGTTTCGTTGTTGCATTGAAGTTAATAACTTCAACAATGATTACATAATACCAAAGAAAACTGTGTAGGACAATGATTTCGACCATGATACTCTCAATAAGGAGTAACACATGCAAATTTTTCTTTCTGAATCGAATTATCGGTCTGAATTATTTTCTCTATGTTAAGGAAATGTAACGTTTAACAAAATATTTAAATTCATTCATTTTTCGGCGTTATTGAAATGTTCGAAATTGAGCTGTGGCGCGTGTTTCAAAATGTTTTGCGCATCAAATATTTCCAAACCTACTGCGCATCAGATGCAACGCAACGATACATTTTATTACCTAAATTTTGAGAAAAGATTGATAAAAAAGCGCAGCTAACTAGCAGTAGCAAATCACAGCAACAGCTAAGCACGTAACAGCAACCAATTTTTGCAATACTGTTGCTGGGATGTAAACATTTACCGCATTTACGAAAGTAATCGATACTTCAGAGAAGTAACTCTATGTTTCTATTCAAAGGAAAAGTCTTTCGAATTTCCCGAGTTATTCTCTGGAAGGACGATTCTAAGTTCTTAAATTCGAAACTATTTTCTTCTTGAGGTTGGGAGCTTACCCCTTAGACTTAAGAATCAATAATTCCGTAGCCCAAAGAGACTAAAATTTGGTACTAATATAGAAACTAGTTACCGAATTAACTCATAGTTGATCGAATAAGCTTTCGAATCTAAAACACATTTCGCTTTCGAAATATGCTAAACTCAACAAAATTTCGATATTGAATGCTATCATTCCAAATTACAATCAATATTACACAATTACGTAAAATTTTAAATTAAATTCGAAATTATGCTTGGAACAAGAGAATTCTCAAAATTGGCCCTATTCTGCTTTTCAATTCGAGTCGATGTTTTCTCCGTTTGTCAACTTTGATACTCTGCATTTCGATTCGAAGATCCGCCAGTCAAATAACTTATTACGATCATAATGCAGAATACACACAATCGGAATACGAAAACGCAATAGAATTGCTGAATGGTTTTCTATATGGAAGGTTTTTCGATCACTTATGCGATAATTAAGCTCAAGATCTGTTTAAAAATTTGAAATTAAACTCGAAAGTCCAAAATCCCAAACATGCTTAAAATTCTTCAAAATTTCTAAAATTTTCAATTTTTTATATGTTCCCAAATTTTGGAAAATCCGAATTATTGTTCGAAAAATGTTTAAACTTATTAAAATAATCTCAAATTCATAAGGAATCATTAAATGTAGTTTTAGTTGATTTCGAAGCCAATTTCTACATTTTTTAGAATGTTCGAATATTTTTTGAAATATGTTTGGAATGTTTGAAAATTCGAAATTAGGAGTCACAAAAATTTAACTTTAGATTTATTTTTGAGGACGATTCATGCATTTTTCTAATTTCGAACTTTAAAATTTTGAAAATACATGAATTTTAAAGTATTTTCTCAATGTATTTTCACAAAAGAAGCTTTTTAAGGAATGTTCGAAAATTCGAAATTATGTTCGAAAAATTTTAAAAGCTTTTAAAATAATCTCTAAATCATAAGGAGTCACAAAAATAAAATTTTAGTTTTATTTGAAGCCGTTTCCATATATTTTTCTAATTTCGAAGTTTAATTTTTCCTTACAAAACTTTTCCGCATTATGCAAACAGATTCTTGCTATTATTTTGCATGCGATTCAATAACAGAAACTTGAGCTAGATTCCTTCGCATTATAATTTTCCTATATAACGCTATGTTTAAACCATTACAAATACAAAAACAAATATACATTATTAAACGCGAATGTTCGAAATTTAAATTTATTTACAAATTACATAACTTTATAAAAGTGATTGCGTAAAGTTTATAAAGTGTTTATATAGAGTGATGTTATATAGAATTTAAGCACCAACCTACCTACAAACACCGCCTACCCCTTGCAACAGATCTACTAGCAGTGGGTGTGCCCGTTCATCCCTCGAAGTTAAAGCTGAAGTTAAAGGTGAACAAACAGCATACGTTTTGGAACATTTTTTTTTATACATTTTTTTAAGCAAATTGATATTTTTTTGTTTTTTTACAAAAAAAAGGTTTCCGAACTGTGGTAAATATGATATGTGATAAGTATACAATACTCTATTTTTATTTTCTCTTAATATAATTAGTTTTAATTATTAAATTTAAAGAAGAAAAAAACTTAAAACAAATAAAATGATATTTTCAACAATAAAAAAAAAAAAAAAACGAATACAAAAAAATTGAGCTCTGGTTAGTCCTTGAAGTTTGGTAGCAATTTACATTGAAAACCGCTATATATTTTTGATAATTGGTTGATGAATAAGTTATACACACAAATTAACTTACATAAGTAAAGGACATGCGCAGATTTGATATATTAAACATGTTATTACATGGTACATTATTACGATTAGTGGAACATTAATAGATCCTTTAAGGAACAAATAACGATGCGTATAAAAAGAGAACTTTTCATTAAGAAGAGTAACATAACTAATAGAGAACTTTTTAATTTCATTCGAGTTCATAAAACAAGTCAGAAACTTGTCTAAAAAGAGTCTTTTTCGTTATTCAATATTAATAGCTTGTCACAGACTAGTTTCTTATTGTCTTCATTTTCTATATACAAACATTAAAAGCCTCTTAGTATTGCTTAAAAAAGAATTTCAGATCCTTTTTCCGATTATGCTAAAACTTACTTTATTAGTTTTATGCTTAATTATAAAGATTCGATATTGAATATTTTCGAAATTGTACATTACGAAAGACGGATTTGAAATTTGTTTCCTTTCGAATCGAAGCATCTCTAAGGGGTTACTCCGTATTTTGTTTCAAACGAAAATGCTTTCGAAATACAATTCTCCCTTATTACTAGCGTCGTATTACAAATCGTATCGTACTCGTTTTTTTAAATCAAATTTTTCGAAAAAGTTAAGTACAAACGAATTTAATTCGTTTTTGTTATATAATTCGTAAAAAACGACACATTTTCGGAACGATTGCGACTCTCCTAATAAGGATGAATGTATTTAATATATTGGGGGTTGTCTTAGAATCGAATAATTGTAGGAAATGGATTTAAAAGCTTCAAAAAACATGAATAGATTTAATAAAATCTAGAACAAGATTAATAATCGAGCATAGTTGTAGAACCTCTAGAGCGATCCTACTGAAGCTGCTGCTTCTCTATATTGAAAAAAATGAATGCATAACCATACTAAATAGCTTTCTCAGCTAAATTATAGTAAAATCTTCCGAACTGTTTAAAATCGAATCATATGCCATTTCAAATATCGATTATGAGCCCCCTAATATATCATTCATACAAACTGAAACGATTTTCGATTTTAAGCTATTACACTTTCTAAAAGTAAACTTTTTTAAAGTCGCCTAAATTAGAATAGGACTTATCTGTTACAGACTTCTTTGTTATTCAGTTCAGAGTTGCAAACTCATAACAATGTTTATATTCGACCGATTTTCAAACAAATTTAAAACTTAAATTCTATGTGTTTTTTCTTTCTAATCATGCTTCTTCTAATTCATCCGAATTAGAAATAATATTGCGCCGGATAAAGTTTTCTGAATCAAATAGGTAATCGTGTAGTCTTCGGAAAACTTAATCATATACTTTGATTCGAGTCACGGCCAGTACGATCAGATCAAATAAGTCTGTTATTTTCTAATCGGATTATCGATTACACTTCATAAAACTATTACAATATTTATATTTTTATTCGACTTATTACAAAAAATGAAAGATTTTAAAAAATCTGAAATTTTTTTTTCGATTTTCTCGAGAATATTTTATCATAAATATCTTTATACTGGTTCTCCGTTAACTTGATTCGAAAACAGATATGTTCGAATTTCGAATCATGATCAAGATTTCTCAATATTTGATCATATTTATCGTTTAATACATTGAAAAAGGATCAGAAATATGTTTCACATTACACAATCAATTGATATTGTAGTTCGTTTAGATTCGTTTATATAATACTGTTTTAAAACTTTTATTTCGTTTCGAAATATTTTATATCGAAAACTGAGAATTAGAGAATTTTTCTCTTCTGATCAAAAATTAAGCTTTTTCCAATATTTTCTTACCGAATAAGTTAAATGACATCTTACGGAATGAAAAATCACTTTGTAAGAGCCATTTGCTATCTTTCAATTAAAATTTTTAACATAAACTTTTCATTTTGTTTAAATAAACAGAATTAAGTAAATTTTATATTAAATAAAACCAATTTTTGTGAGTTAACATATTTAATCGAAATTCTTAAACTTTTTAAGTTTAATAATATTCGTTTTATTTTTTTCCCAGAAAATGTTCCTCTTAAACGTAATTATATTAAAAAAAAGTTTTAGCTGAATAAAAGAATTTTATTGACAAAAATTAGCTGAACTAGTTCTAGTCCAGTTTTCAAGTAAAAACTGCTACCAAGCTCAAAGGATTATACCAAATGTTTATTTATTTAATTTATTGATTAATGGACTAAGAAAGCTTAGAAACTTTGACAAATTAAAACCAAACTATAGACGAATACTTTGCATTGTTATGCTCAGAGATATACACAAGATCTTCTTCCACTTTCATCAACAAACTTTCATTATGCACTAAAGATCATAGTGTAAAGTTTCGCATTTGCATGGTGATCATTTCAATGCCGAAAGTTTTTAAAATATTTTGAAAGCAACCTTTGGAAGCGTATTTGTGATCACATTGTAATTGATCATGATTTAGTATCTCTAAGATTACTACATTCTTTTTTTAACTTTTCAAATATTACAAAAATATCTCACTTCATAAGCTTTAGCCTTTATGTAAATTGAAAAACGTGCCCAGTAGTTGATTTCTTTGTTAAATTTTTCCTTTGGAAATGTTTTCCTGTTAAAAATATACAAACTTTTTTGTTAAAATGTATTGCAATTCCTATACAAAGCATTAAATGTTTATGAACATTTTCAAAATAGATTTTCAGATGATTATATATCGTGTGTTAATGAAAAGATAAAGACTTAGTAGAAGAAACGATTAGAGCGACTCAACTTCTTTAAAACGTTTTATTGAAGTGTATAAATGAAATCCCTATTTCAAGTTTTCAAAATGGTATAAATCTCATTAAATTTGTTCTTTTGAAGATGTCAGTCAATACTTGAAACTGAATATTTCAATCTGAAATCATTACTGCTCACCAAGATAAACGATTTAGGCAAAGATTTATTGCCACCATCAAACGAATGAAATGTCGAATTTTCTAAAAATTAGTTTCATAAAGGTTCCTTGTTCGGAAATTTGCATAACATATTCCTACCACACTAAAATATTATAAATTATATAATTTTTTTTTAATTTTAATACTTTTTCAGCTCATCACAAGCAAAAGCCTTTCCGTTACAACATAATATTTTTCTCTTAATTACTTGTTATCCCTTCGAAACTCTCTTCGTTAACAAATTATATTAATTATTGTCTTATTTCTCTTCCTTTTCTCTAGTACAAACACTTGTAGAAACCAACCTCTTCTCAGATGCTCTCTCAGCAGCAACTGGACCCAAAAAGGTCAACAAACGTAAACGTCCTAATACACCATTAGTTAATGGCAAAGAAGATCCTACATCACCAACCTCACCTGATGCCCCCAAAGTAATGCCTTTGAAATTTTATCAAGACACTTTGGATGAATCAAAAACAGAAGATTCCAAATCAGATAAGGAAAATGATGAAACTGGCGCTACAACAAAAACAACAGAAGAAAATACAACAGCTGAAGATAAAGATCTCGAGGACGATGATGATATACCTTTGAAAAAGGTCAAAGAAGACATCGAACAAAAGGTGGCCCAAGAAAAGAAATTGGATGGTGCAGATGTGGCCGGCACTACTATTGATATAACAAAAGATGATGAAGAGAAAAAGTCAAACGAAAGTGCTAGTTCTCCTAGTAGACAGACGTCTCCTAGAGGAGAAGAAAATGATGTAGAAATGGTGGAGGAGAAAAAGCCTGGCCCTGGCTGTGGACCTAATGGTCCACCAGGTGTTTTGATGCTGCACCGACGCAAAGGACCCAAAAAGAAGTTAACCTGGCGTCCTCAGGAGACGCTGGAACAAGTACGTTACTTTGAATTGGATGAAAATGAACGTTGTAATGTTACCAAGACCTCGTTCATGGATATGAAAAATCTGGAACGTTTTAACGAACGTGATGCTATTGTGATGGCAAGACGTGGTTTCAATCAAGAGGACAATATGGAACCACAAACACATTGGAAGCCTTTGGTGGAGGTAGATGATGTGCCACCCCACCCAGAGGGTAATCAATCGAAGCAGAGGAAAATACAAGCGGAACGAGAATTGACTACCTTGAGAGCTTTGTATTTTACTCACGCCTTAATACCCGACTCACCGGCTGAGGCAGAATTTGAACCCGCCTTTAATCATGATGTGCCACTCATACCCCTCGATGATTTAACCGGTAATCCGGATGCTGTTAATGATTTCACCAGCATGCCTTGGCCAGAGCCACGTGGCTCACCCAAACAGGGTGATAGCGTCATGTCAGGTACCGGTGGTTTAGGCAGTCCAGTGGATATGTTCGGCAACTCGGGACCCATGCCAAATGTAAACAATAACAATAAGCAGGCGCCGGGTAATCCATTTAATCCCTTCGTCAATCAGTTCCCAGGAAATCAGGGACCCAATGGACCACAAATGCAAAATAGTCCACAAAACCAATGGCAGGGACCAGCAAATAATATGGGTGGGCCCATGGGTGGCAATGGTCCCATGATGGGAAATCCCTTCAACGGCAATCATGGCAGTCCCATAATGGATATGGGCGGTCCTGGACCCATGGGTCCTGGTCATATGATGAACAATGGTCCTCCTCAGAACTTTATGAATCAATTTTCAAATAATTATGTGGGAGGACCCAACAATCCTTTCATGAATGGCCCCTCTAACTTCAATAATGGACCCAACAATTTCGGACCTATGGGTCCCAATGGACCCATGATGAATGGCATGGGTCCGGGCCCCATGGGTAATATGATGAATGGCGGCCACAACAATAGAAACAACAATCGCGGCAACAATGGTGGCGGTAACTGGCGTAGTGGTGGCTCTAATTTCCAAGATAATAATGGAGGCGGCGGCGGTGGTAATTGGCGACCAGCTGGTCCTGGTCCCAATAATCGCGGTGGCGTTGGAGGCATTAACAATAATGGCGTTTGCAAAGCATTTATGCGTGGTCACTGTCGTTTAGGCAATTCCTGCAAATACATACATCCAAATAAAAATAAACGCATATAGGAATGGGCTGATGACTCCCTCCTTTTAAAGGATGATTCATCAAACTCTAATAATTCCTTACCCGCAACCAATAACGACTGTGATACAAAATAAAGACTTAATATTATAAGTATAAATGTAATTTTCCCTCGAAAGGAAAAACCATTAAGTTTTAAGCCTGATGAAAAGTAACAAACAAACCAAGACTGTTAATGCTATTACGCCCAAAAAAAAAAAACTCTGCTGGCCCCCCCGCCCTCTACAATTACACGCCTACGTTTTAGCATTTATATAATATAAGCTAATGAAACAACTAATACACAACCTGCTCGAATACAAAACGGCTGGCCGCCTTCAATACATCAAATCCTATTCGTTTAAGAGTAATTTAACTTAATAAGAACAATTTTCCAGATTTAACACATGAAAAACTATATGATAGATCATGCTATATATCAAATAATGACTTAATGTATTAAATAGATTATGTACAGCAAATATGATTAGTAAAATAACCCAAAAAACCTGTCAATCATGTTATAAATCATAAAATAACGTACCAATTTTGCATTTTGTTTCTTTTTAATAATTTGAAAAAAATTTCGTTACTTTTTTCCCTTAATTACTTATTTGCCTAAAATGTCTGCCTTCGTTTAGCATTCATATCTTAATTAATTAAAAATTACTTTGAAAAATTCTATCAATATGTTTGTATTATAATTTATTTATATTTATATGCATATTGTTTTTTTACAGAGAAATAATCAAATAAAAGTACATTTATATTAAACACTAGATTTAAAATAAAATTAGAACTTTAAAATAGTGTAGAAATAATTATTTTATTTTTGTTATGTAGTGTATAAATTAATATTGTAATATTATGTTTAAGTTATTGATTTACAAAACAAAACTTTTTTATAACAAAAAAATTAGAAAATATTTAATAGTTTTTGGATAAAAAAAACAAATTATTAATGTTTTATTAATAAAAAACAATAAAAATATGTTGAATTATATTAAAAAAATATAACTTTTTTTATTTTTTTAAGTAGTAACAAGTAAGAGTGCTATATTCGGCTGTGCCGAATATTATATACCCCTCACCACAGTGTGTTTAAAAAAAATCAATTCTATAAAATTTTAATTTATTTCATTTTCCCGTTTATATCATTATTATAGCAATAGCAAAACGAACAACAACAACGCTAAACGAAATAAACACACAAAAAAAAATAAAATACACAAGGCAGTTAAACCAACAGACATACAAACATACGAAACTGAATACACCAAAAAACAAAAACAATATACACAAGGCAATGAAACCAACAGCCATCCAAACATACGAAACTGAATACACCAAAAAACAAAAACAATATACACAAGGCAATGAAACATACGAAACGAAATACTCAAAAAAAAAGCAAAAACAAAATACACAACGCAATGAAACCAACAGACATCCAAACATACGAAATTCAATACACCAAGAAAACAAAAACAATATACACAAGGCAATGAAACACACAGCCATCCAAACATACGAAACTGAATGCATCAAGAAACAAAAACAATATACAAAAGGCAATGAAACACACAGACATCCAAACATATGAAACGAAATACTCAATGAATAAGCAGTGTTGTTGTTGTTGCGTATATCAAAGCATGAAAAAAATTGTCTATTTTATGAAATTTTCAGAGATTGTCTCGGATTTTTGCTCATATCTCCGGTATTTATGGACCGATTTTGCTGATTTTAAATAGTGATCTTCTCGAAAGCATGTCTAACAGAATTATTGAAGATTTGGATCTCGCTGATATCTGGGGTCCTCTAAAAACTGATTTCAACAAACACACAGACGGACAGACAGACAGTGGACAATTAAATTTTTGAAATAGTACTAACTTTTAACAAAGTACCTTTTCCGGTTTTTAAGACTATACTGTAGATTAGATTATAGACTTCATACTATCCTATAGACTAGACTTCATACTATGGACTACACTACATACTATAGACTACACTACATACTATAAACTAGTCTAGACTAGACTATACCATAGACTAGACTAGACTACATACTGTATTAGCCAATATTCTAGATTATAGACTAGACAATAGTCTATAGTCTAGAATGTAAACGTCTATAGTCTATAGACTAGACTATAGACTAGACTATAGAGTATACTATAGACTAGACTATAGAGTATACTATAGACTAAACTATAGACTAGACTATAGACTAGACTATAGACTGGACTATAGACTTGCTATAGAGTAGACTATAGACTAGACTATAGACTAGACTACAGACTAGACTATAGACTAGGCTATAGACTATACTATAGACTAGGCTATAGACTAGACTATAGACTAGACTATAGACTATTCTATAGACTAGTGTATAGTCTGGACTATAAACGTCTATAGTATATATTCTGGACTATAAACGTCTATAGACTAGACTACATATATACTACAATAGACTACATACTATAGACTAGACTATATACTATACCATAGACTAGACAATAGAATACACTATAGACAAGACTATAGACTAGATTAAAGACTAGACTAAAGACTAGACGAAAGACTAGACGAAAGACTAGACTAAAGACTTGAGTATAGACTAGATTATAGACTAGACTATAGACTAGACTATAGACTAGACTATAGACTAGACTATAGACTAGACTATAGACTAGACTATAGACTAGACTATAGACTAGACTATAGACTAGACTATAGACTAGACTATAGACTAGACTATAGACTAGACTATAGACTAGACTATAGACTAGACTATAGACTAGACTATAGACTAGACTATAGACTAGACTATAGACTAGACTATAGACTAGACTATAGACTAGACTATAGACTAGACTATAGACTAGACTATAGACTAGACTATAGACTAGACTATAGACTAGACTATAGACTAGACTATAGACTAGACTATAGACTAGACTATAGACTAGACTAGACTATAGACTAGATTATAGACTAGACTAAACTAGACTATAGACTAGACATTTTCTGAAGCGTGTATTTTATGCGTTCATTAGGAGACACACACTTTACACCATAGATTAAGTTTCCGTATTTCGAAGCATTTTCGGATTACTATATTTCTAGGTCAACTAAATACAAAAAGTTCATCTGTGTCATGGTGCTATGCCACAGTAATATCAAAGAAATATTTTAAAAATCAATATTGATTTTATGACAAAGACAATGATGGTGACGACATCGAAATTATCAAGGGTTGTTAAACCTAAACTATAA